TGTGGTAAGGAGTTTTCTTATACATCTTCATTGAAGACTCATTTGAAGAGACATGTCCCCGATAGACGCAGATCCAGCTCTGGTACAATGAAGCATAAGCAGCAGAAACTTATATGTACCACGTGTGGTAAAATAAGTCGCAGCGTTTATGAACTTGAAATGCATGAGCTGAAGCATGCTGGGTCCAAACCACATAAATGCATGGTATGGTTATGTCTTTTAAAATTAAACTTTTGGTTGAAGCTATGTTATGGTCTGTGCTGCCTGAAAAGATATTTTTTTGAGTCAGTGACAAGCAAGCGATGGATAATGCCACATGATTAGATTCAAACAATCAAAATCAGGAGGTGTATCCAGTTCAGTTCAAAGGGTTTAGTCAATGAGATTAGAGTTGTTTCTGTTTACAGTAGGCGGCCCAGAGAACAAATTAAGTGACTAATTTGTGATTGGTTTGGCAGTTCAGATTGTTATGCAGTTTTATTGTTGCTACACTGGGAGTATGACATTCTTCACAAAAGTAATTTAATCTTCATTTGCTAATATTGTGACCAAGAATAGTGACGGAGTGTTGTTCCAATGCTATTATTTATGTATTGCCTTCTTTATAGGAGATAAACGTAGTTAATTTTTAAACAATGAAAAGTAAAGTTGGAGTTTGAGTGGTTTTATCCTGGTACCTTTTTGCTGCTTTTAGCAGAAAGCAACAGATTATTGGTTCAAAGTATTACTCCATAAGTGACTTTATATGACGTTGCAATTTTTTATTCAGTATTAATAGGGAGCAGTATATCCTATGCAGTTTTATACTGCTCACCAGATGAGACATTATCGTGTTGTATCTGCTGCTGTATCTTCAGAGACTTGTGTAGTCTAGTGTGTGCAAGGTCAGAAATCACATGACGCCAGGTTATAGTCCAACAGGTTTATTTGAAATCGCAAGCTTTCGGAGTCTTACTCAGTGGCACCTCCACATCATAGTCTAGTGTCTGTGAGGGTAGGCACCTTCTGGTCTTTTAAGAATCTTCTACAGTAAACAAAATGTAGTTTGTTGCTCCTCTGCAATTGTTCACAGGTCATATGAACAGGCTCTGCAGGACTACAAAGACTGTTGGGATGACAATTTTTATTGCAAAAACGGGGAGGTTATGTTGGAGCTGTATATGATATTAGTTAGGCCACAGCTGAAATATCATTTGCAGTCCTGGTCATCAAATATAGGAAAGATGTGATTGCACCAGAGAGACCACATTATATGCAGGTGAGTGCAGTACAATAAATTGACAGAAGTACATGTAATTTGCTGCTTCATCTGGAAGGAACATAGGGGTTTTCGAAAGTGAGGAGAGAAGAGATAAAAAGGCAGATGTGACCCCGTGGGATGATGCCACTTGAGGGAGGTGGGTTTTGGGGATGATTTCATAGAGAAGCAGAGTCCCGCGGATGAAACTTGCAGTTACACAACATCAGAAGGTTAGATGTTGACCCTTTACCTCTCGTGTTACAAGACCTCAAGTGAGGTGACCAGTGTTTAATAATTTTGGCTGCTTAAAGTTCAGAGTGACTTCAGCAATGTAACTGAACTCAGCTTTGGAAACCCCGTTTTGGAAATGGTACATGTTCAGTGGTACAGAAACAGGCCACTGTTGAAAGGTCAGATTTTTAAAAAGATAGTTAAATATTTGAGCTTCCTTTGCGAATATTTTAGGATATAACAATTAAACGTTTGACATGTAAGTATATTTATTTAGAAATGCGATCATCACAAATGTAAACATCGGGAAGTTGAGCAAAACTAGCAATTATACAGAATCAAGCCTTGTTTGTAGACTGCAATTCTTATTGCAGCCAAACAGATGATCATGTGACTTGCATCCCATGTTCTTTAAAATGGTTGTGAAGAATGTGTACTAAAATAGGGCAGAACTGACTTGTTTTCTACTATCCTTTACTTGCTTGTTGAGAGTGCTTGACTTTGACTTAACCCCCCTTTCCTTGTATGGGACAAAAGCCTGTATTTTATTATCCTACTCCCCAGTTTTGCATTATCATCATTCCTTAGATGTTCTTTGCTAGGCTCTCTAACACTAAATTTATTTAAGAGAATAAAATGGAAAGCTTACATATCAAAATGGATGCATAAGAATTGTGGACCACCCTCATTTGTAGAAAAATTTTTTTGTGGTACTGGAACTGGAAAACTTCTTCACCTTTGCTTCCAACCTCCACCATTTTCTCACCTTCACAAGGTCCATCTGCATCACTGCCCTTCCTTGACTTCACTGTCTCTATTGTTGATCACGGGCTGCCTGCTAATACTTGTAATAAGCCTCCCTTCCACATTTAGCTCCAGTACATTTCATCACACCCTGTTTCCTGTAAGTCCTCCATTTCATTCTCCCAGTTTCTTAGTTTCCATTAGATCTGTCCTAATGACATAACCTTCCAAAACAGTACTTCCATCTTCCTTTTTCCTCAGTTGAGGATTCCCCTCACCCCTCTTGTAGATGAAAGGGATCTCAACTGCTCTCACTTCTTCCTGTCCTTTCCAGAACTATGATGGAGTCCCCCTTATCCTCATATTCTACCCTATCAGCCTACGTATTCAAAGATTATCCTGTGTCATTTCTGCCAACTCCAGCATGGTGACACCAGCAAATAAATCTTCCTCTCTTGTTCTGCGTGTTGAAGGGGCCGTTCTCTTTTTTTCATATATTTATTCACAAGATATGGGCATCATTGGCTAGGCTGGCATTTATTGCTCATCCTCATTGCCCAGAGAGCGGTTAAGTGTCAACCACCTTGCTGTGGATCTGAAGTCCCATGTAGGCCAGACCAGGTCAGGATAACAGTTTCCTTCCCTAAAAGACATTAGTGAATCAGATGGGTTTTTAACGCAATTGACAATGGTTTAGTGGTCATTACTAGATTTCTAATTTCAGATATTCATTGAATTCACAACCCACCATCTGCCATGGCTGGATTTGAACCACGGTCCCCAGAACATTAACAACTGATGCAGCAGTCTTAAAACAATTTTCTAAAAATAATCTTCAGTGTAGTGACCTCAATGATAAAAGTGCATTCCATGAATATTTGTACAAGACACTTGTTATTGTGTCATAGAAATATTTCCTGTATATGATTGGTCATTATCACAGCTAAGAGACAGCTTACAACTTTGCTGTTAAGCCACTGTAAACCAAATTTTAACATTTTCACTCAATAAAATTAGTGCCTTGATGTTTTAAATAAATAGAGACCCATTTCAATTGATCAGGATTCCATGTAAGCTCCCACTGTTAACCCAGTAGCTCCCAATTTAATATTGCTCGTGAGAGTTTTGATTTCTGCCTCTTGCATTCTGAGTGTAATTTTGAAGCACACTAGTTAGATTCGTGGTCTTTTTAAAAACCTCATAATTGCAGCACAGTCTCACGTTTGTCATCATGGTTTAGTGAGTTTCCTGTCCAATTCAGATTTGTAAAGCTGACCAAGCTCTTGGTTTGTATTGTTTTCCTTTGGATATCTGTGTTGTCCCACCAGCCTCTTGATTTTGGTAGTAATTCTGTAGACATAAGCTGAACTTCTTTATGCCCCTTTTAAGAAGTTCAAAATGATATGAACACCCTTCATTACTTTGGCAGATCTGTGAGAAGTCTTTTGCCTACATCCACATCTTGAAGCTCCACATGAAATATCATCAAGATGCAGAGGACTACCATTGTGAATTTTGTGGAAAAGAATATTTCAATGCCAGTTCATTATGGTTCCACAAACTTGCTCACTCGGGTATGTTTCCAGAATGTTAATTCTCTTTTTGTGGAGTGGGTTTCTCATTCACAGACCAGGTAAGGATGGTAATTTCCTTCCCTAAAGGACATTAGTGAACCAGGTGGGTTTTCCAACAATTGACAATGTTTTCATGGTCATAATTAGGCTCCTAATTCCACATATTTATTGGATTCAAATTCCACCATCTGACATGGTGGGATTCGAACTGGAATCCTCTTGCTTTTCAGTGCCACGCAACATGAACATAATGGATTAAAAGAGTGGCAGTCTGTTTTGTGGTAGTATTTGAGAGAGAAAGTGAGAGAGATGTTGATCAGGTCGCATGGACAACTTCTCAATTCTTGAAAGAAGTACTATAAGACCTTTCTAAATTCACTAAATTGTTAACATAGAAACACAGAATATTAGAATAGGAATAGGATATTTGGCCTTTCGAGCTTGCTTTGTCATTCGATATGATTATAGGTGAAGATTAGTGGGAAGCCTTTAAAAATCAGCAGAGGACAACCAGAAGATGAAATATGAGGGTATGCTAGCTTGTAATATGAAAGAAGATTGCAAGAGTTTTTTCTTTCAAATATATAAACTGTAAGAGAGAGGCAAGACTGGTCATTGGACTACCAGAAAATGAGACTGGAGAAGTAGTAATGGGAACAAAGAAATAGTGGAGGAACTGAATAGCTAGTTTGCATCAATCTTCACAGTAGAAGACACGAGTAGCATACAAAAAGAGGTGAGTGCAATGGCTATCATTAAGGAGAAAGTGCTGGAGAAGCTGAAAGGTCTGAAGGTGAATATATCACCCAGACTGGATGGACTACACCCCTGGTTCTGAAGGAAATGGCTGAGGAGATTGTAGAGGCATTGGTGGTGATCTTTGAGGAATCACTGGACTCGGGGACGGTGCCAGAGGAGTGGAAAATGGCCAATGTAACACCCCTTTTCAAGAAGGGAGAGAGGCAGAAGAATGGAAATTATAGGCTGGTTAGCCTGACCTCAGTTGTTAGTAAGATTTTAGAGTATATTATGAAGGATGAGATTGCAGAGCACTTGGAAGTGCATGGTAAAATAGGCTGAGTCAGCACGGCTTCATCAAGGGGAGGTCATATTTGCTACAGTTCTTTCGAGGAGATAGTGAGCAAGTTGGACAAAGGAGAGCCAGTGGATGTGATCTGTTTGGATTTCCAGATGGCCTTTTGCAAGGTGTCACGCAGGAGGCAGCTAAATAAGATATTAGCCCATGGTGTCAGGGGGGAAGGTACTGGCATGGATAGAGGATTAGTTGACTGGCAGAAGGCAGAGAGTAGGGATAAAGGGGTCTTTTTCAGGATGGCAGCCTGTGAATAGTAAGAGTTCTGCAAGGGTGGCCCCACACATTATGTGTTAACTATCTAGACGAAGAACTGATGCATTGTTGTATGTTTGCAGACAACACAAAGATAGGTGGAGAGACAGTTAGTGTTGAGGAAGCAAGGAAGCTGCAGAAGGACTTGGATGGTGGTCAAAGAAGTGGCAGATGGAATACAATGTAAGAAAGGTTATGCATTTTGGAAGAAAGAATAAAGGCATAGACTATTTTCTAAATGGGAAAGGCTTTGGAAATCTGAAGCACGAAGGGAGTTGGGCATCCTAGCTTGCGATTCTCTTAAGGTTCATTTGGCAGTTCGGAATGCAAATGTAACATTGGCATTCATTTCGAGAGGACTAGGATACAAGAGCAGTGATGTACCGCTGAAGTTGTTCAAGACTCTGGTCAGAATGCCTTTCTTATATTGTGAGCAGTTTTGGGCCCTGAATCTAAGGAAAGATGTGCTAACCCTGAAAGGGGTCCAGAGGTTTACAAGAATGATGCCGGGAACGAAGGGCTTGTCATATGAAGAGTGATTGAGGACTCTGGGTCTGTGCTTGATGGAATTTCAAATAATGAGGGGAGGATCTCATTGAAACTTACAGAATATTGAGAGGCCTTGGACAGAGTGCATGTGGAGAAGATGTTTCTTCTAGGAGAGACCTAGGATCTGAGGGCACAGCCTCCGAGTTGAAGGGATGACCCTTTAGAACAGAGATGAGGAAGAATTTCTTCAGCCAGAGGGTGGTGAATCTTTGGAACTCATTGCCGCAGAGGGCTGTGGAGGCAAAGTAGTTGAGTGTATTTAAGACAGAGATAGATAGGTTCTTGATCAGTAAGGGAATCAAGGGTTACGGGGAGAAGGCAGGAGAATGGGTTTGAGAAACATATCAGCCATGATCAAATGGCAGAGCAGACCTGATGGGCCAAATGGCCTAATTCTGCTCCTGAATGTTATGGTTGGATGTTATGGTTTTATGTTCTTATGATAATGCAATTCACTAGCCTATTCCTGCTTTCTCACCAAATCCTTTGATCTCCTTAGTCCTGAGAACTATATCTACATCTTTCTTAAAAGTCTTCAATATTTTGGCTGAACGTTTTTGCCTGTGCCAGGGAATTCTCATCAATCCCTACGCTAAGAAATTTCTCATTGTCTGTGTCCGTAGAGGCCTACCCTGTTTCCTTAGACTGTGACTCCTCCTTGTACATCATTGTTGTCATTTCCAGGAATCAGTCTGGTAAACCTTCATTGCACTCCTTCAATAGTCAGAACATCCTTCTTCAGAAAAGGAGACCAGAACTGTACACAATACTTCATGTATGGTTTTACCAATGCCTTGTAGCAGTTCCAGCAAGACATCCCTACTCCTGTACTTGAATCCTCTCGCTTCGAAGGCCAACATACAATCTGCCTTCCTCAAAGTCAATTGCACCTGCATGTTTACTTTTCAGTGACTGTTGTACAAGGACACCCAGAACTCGTTGCACCCACCCCTCCCCACCTTCCCTAATCTATCACCATTCAGTTAGTTTTCTGGCTGCCTGTTTTTGCTACCAAAGTGGATAAATCACATTTATCCACGTGATACTGCTTCTGCCATCTCTTTGCCCGCCCAACCCACCCACCCACCCAAATACCCACCCACCCACCCACCCAACTACCTACCCACCCACCCAACTACCCACCCAACTACCCACCCAACTTGCACAAATTGCAGTGAAGCTTCTCTGCATTCTACTTAGAGTACACCCTCCCTCCCAGCTTTGTGTCATGGAGGTATGACACACAGTTTCTTTGTCTATATCTCTAATATATATTGTGCACAGCTGGGTCCAAGCACTGATCGCTGCAGCACCCCACCAATCACTGCCTGCCACTTGGAAAATGACCCATTTATTCCTATTCTGTTTCCTGTCTGCCAATTACTTTTCAGTTAATTTCAGTTCACCACCTCAAATCTCATGCACTTTAATTTTGCACACTAAAGTCTTATGTGGAAACTTATTGAAAGCCTTCTGAAAATCAAAGTGAACCACATCCACTGGCTCCCTCTTATCCAGTCTACAAGTTACATTCTTGAAACATTGCAGCAGATTTGTCAAGTATGACTTTCCATTCATAAATCCATTGCTAACTCTGTCTGATCCTGTCAGTAAATTCCCCTAGTATTTTTCCCTCTACTGATGTCATATAATCAGTGGTAACATTTCCTTTATAATCATGCCATAATTATTTCATATAGAATGATTTTGCATTTATATAGTGCTTAATAATCTCAAATGTCCCAAAGCATGTCACCATCAAAGACCTGCTTTAGAAGTATAGGAGAAATTAAATAAGGAGCCACTTTGAGTGTATCCATCACTCAAGTAACAAAAGCAATGCGTTTCCAGTTTAAAAAGTCTTGTGGTGGTATTTGAGGGAGAGTTGTTCAATGGGTCATGCAGAGAACATCTCATAATTCTCAAATAAAAGCGCTGTGAAACTTTTCTGAATTCACTTAAAAATAATCAATTGAGACTTTTGTTCAATGTCTGGTTGGAAGGATGCAGCTCTTTCTCAGCACTTCGCGGAAGTGTTTGCTTAAAGTATGTGTTCAAGTTCAGGAATGGGCTTGAACCTAGCACCTTTGCGCTCAGGGACAGAAGTGTTACCAATGAAGCTAAACTACTTTTATGTTTGTCCATTTTTGTAAAACTTTTATATTTTAAAGTGTGCATTTACATTATTGTCTGCATTCTTTGGATAGATGAACTGCAGTACTGCTGTGTTCTGTGTGGAAAGAGATTTAAAACCCCTTCAGGTTATAATCAGCATAAGAAAAAGCATAATCTCTCAGAAGAGAAGATCTCCTACAATCAGTTGAGTATTGTTGTTTTCATTTTTGTGTGAATATACATATTGCCTTAAAGTGCTTGTGTCACAATCGGGCACGTTATGTTCCAAACCATTTAAAAGAAGCCTCTGTCCTTCTTTTCTTAAAAACAAAAGTTGTTCATTTCTTACCTAAAGGCCACTTACTGTTCATTTCTTAAGACTTTTGCTTTGTTGTGTAATAGCAAAGATGAAAAGATTAAAGAAATTGGTATAGGTACATTTCTGGACATCACATGCAGACTGCAAATTCATTGAGTGAAAGCCTTTCCTGATAATTCCAGTCTTGGCCTCCCTGGCAGTCAATCAGATGAATATGCCAATACAGTAACTTAAATGCCAAATAAGCGTTGAGGATTTGCCAATGGTGTAAATACTAACTCCTTGCCAGCTGCTGTTGTTGTGGTGTTGGATAATGGACATGGTGAGATACTTTTGTGAGAAAAACAGGTGACTTCAGATGGAATGTAATATATTCAGCAAAAGAAATGATGTAATTCTGGGTTCAGAGATGGGGAGTAGAATATTCTCTATCAGTGGCATGTATTAGTAGCATGGGGAACTTAGTAGGTTGGGTTTGGGCAAATAGAGTGGACCTTCCACCTTTTTCTGCTGATAATCTCTTCTTGTCACTGAAGTAAAATTTCCCATTTCTGCACCAGTCACCATTTAGTATTCCTTGGGCAGTTAGCATTTATACCCTGTGTCAGTCAGGTTTTTCTGGCTGTGTTTTTGCATCCACTGGGAAATGAATAGTGACAGCTCTAACTTCATTTGGGCCCCTTAAAGTTGGCAGGTAGAGAATCTTTCAGACTATGTCTGGCTGGATTGAATCCAGGTATTCAAGATGAAATTACATTATATTAACCCACTGCCACCTGTCCTCCCTGAGTAAATAATTAATTTCCTGCTCTAGTACAGGATTCATTTTCACTGTCGCAGCAATGTCTCTCTTCAAAACAAAATTGAAAATGAAAGGCAATTCTTACATGCCTGCTTAGTCAATAGATAGTCCTGGTGGCAATATAGAATGTGAGTACGTATGTTTCGTGAGACGTTTTCTGACAGCTGAATTTCCAATTGAATACTACTATTCTAGTTTCAAAAAGAGCTTTCCAGACCATTTTCTTTTTCTTTTCTCACTACTTAATCCTTTGGTGTTGCTGTACCTACATATTGTTGTAGGGTGTGATTTGTACCATTTTGTTTCTCACTGATGGCTGCCTCCTAATGGCCCTATTATGTGCTGGGTTACCAGTTGCAGCGCTGTGTAAGCAGTAATATAAATAATGCGTGGAGGCACTTTACGGAAAGCTTGCTAAACTTATAAGAGTTAATAGAAGGATATGCTGATGGGAGGAGGCTCACATAGGGCACAAGCGGTAGCATAGACCAGTTGGATCAAATGACCTGTTTCTGTGCCGTAAAACTATTTGGAGTCTATGTAAACACTGATCTCAGTGTTCTAAGTTAGAGAGGCTCAGGGGTGTGGGCTTGGAGAAATTAGCACGGTTTTTGCTCCTGATCACCATACTGCATCAACTTCTGGCAAATGTACATCTATGGAATTGGATGAAGTTCCAAGTGATTGAATAACCCAATGGCATCCTAGTATTCAGGGTTGCATTTCTCGGGTAAAGAGCTGTATGGAACCAAACCCAAGTGAGTGAAAGTGTCTTCAGGTCAGAGGGAAACAAACTGGTGGAAGAATTGTACAGATATTATTCCCTCTCTGAAGAACCAGGTCCAAGTGTAGTCTTCAGGTAAACTGAAGTCCGACACCAAGCATAGTTGGGACAGATATAATTCAGTCTACTTTCTGAAATCACATAATCTTCTCTAATATTTTAATTGTATGTTGAGTCTATATTGTCATATAGTTAAATAGCAAAACTTTCAGCATTTTGTGAAGCAGAAATGTGGAGTTGATGAAGCATTAAAATTTCTCTGTAGGCAAAGCTGAAGATCCTGACAATGCTAAACACTACAACTTCCCTAGTATGACAGTGTGTAAATGCAACTTGACCAATTTACAGTGTTCATTATAAATATAGATGTATTTGTAATGGAAAAATATTACCAAGATCTGACAGCAGGAAACATAAACAGATGCAAACATTTTTAATGTGACGAAAATATGTGGGTAACCAATGTACAAAGAGCATTTAAAACTTGCTATTGAAATTTTATTAATTTACCTTCCTTTACATTAAGTGCACTTTTTAAAAACTGGTAACATAGTGTCTGAATGTACAACGATGTGGATATTAATCAGAGGTAGATTTATGCCAGAAGTTCTTAATTTTGGCTTTGCTGATAAGCCAGACAAATTCTTCTTGAATCAGCCAGAGAATTCAAGGTCACATCACCTTCATTCATGTTATAGGTAGACCGGCAAAGTTTAGAATGGATTTCTCAAAAGAGCAAGATATTTGGATTCTTGATCTTGTACAGTTACTTCTGTCATTGATCTCTATGTTTTGCTTAGGTGTGATGGATGTGGCAAGGTGTTTTGTGACTGCAAGCAAACAAGTAGCACATTTTGTGAAGACAGGCCACAGATCAGCCGAACTGTAGAGCACATTTGTGAGCATTGTAACAAGATATTCAACCAGATTGAGGACTACCATAAACACATGACTCAACACACAGGTACCTTCTGAGTTCAGCAAATTACCAGCTGATTCTATATATAATATTTCCATCTCTTGGTGTTTACATGTATTACCAACTAGAATAACAGATCTTTTCCTTATATGTGTTGTTATAAGCTGTAAGACAATGACATGCTAAATAGTCCTGATTTCTTTCAATTAAATTGTAAACTCATGAACTTCTCAAGGTCAGATCCTCTGCTGGGAGTCTGACTTTGATGTAGCCATACTCTGGTATTTTTATAACCTTGCCACAAAATACGTTTGTTTCCGCACACATTTCATTGGTAATACTCGACTATTTTGAAAGGAAGTATTGTCTTTTCTATATTTATTTTGATGTAGGCCAAAAACCTTTCCAATGCTTGACCTGTGGCTTGGCCTGGGCTGACCCTCGCTCACTATGGCATCACATTCGTGAGCACAGTGGGGAAAAGCCTTACATCTGTTCCATCTGTCTGGATCCTCACATTGATGCTCGGAGTTTGCGGCTGCACATGAAAAAGCTCCACGGAAATGGGGTCCCAAAGTGTATTACACTTAAAAGGGAACCACTGCCTCTACACAAGTACTTAACACACTTGACCCATGATATGTTTATTTTACCAACGACAGATCAGAAGCAGCAGGACAGCGATTCCATGAATGAGATAAAGCGACATGATGAAGACACTGCAGGAGAATGGAAATCGTTTCCAACCGTTTCTAATGAACACTCCAGAAATCTTTCCATCCTGTCTGATCAAATTTTCTAACATTAGTGAATGACCCACGTTCTTCCTGTTTTCAATGTCTGGACTTTTCCATTCTAAGTGTCTGCAGGATCACTGGAACAGCAAGTATGGACTAGTTTTGCATGATGTTTTGACATCTTTTGGATGGGACCTATGAGAAACAAACTTTTTTTTCTGTGAAACAGGTTTGTTTGACACGTTTTATATAAAACATACTGTAAAATTCAATTTGAGTATTATGAAACTGTGAGGACGTATTAAAACAATGTAAAAATTGTTGGAAACTTCAGAAATGTAATTGCTACACCCCTCCCCTAAATGTCAAAAATACAACTCCAAGTATTAATTTAGACATTGCAAAAATAAAAGGTTGTGCAGTTAAGTGAGTTGCAACTTTTGAAGCAATACAGCGAGGAAAAGTTGGAATTTTTTTATTTATATTTTGTTATCCTAGTTCACATGCTTTTGTTTTTAACCTCCTAATTTATTGATTGCCAATATTCAATGGAAGACAATGCTTCATGTTACCTTTCTAATGACTTTTATACCTTGCTCCGTAATTACGATTGACTGTCGAGCATTTTGAATAGTACCAGCCTGGTAATGCATTTGTGTTAAATAGGAAACAAATGTTTTGACTTGACCTTGAGGTGGACACAGCTAGCTAGGTGATTTATATCTGCAGGCTTTGTTTCGTTGCCATGAGCATTTGGAGCCAGTTATTTTTTTGTTGAACAGATTGGGCTATTTGAATGCGTTAATTGAAGTGGATGCTGCAAAGCCCAGTAAAACGTGTCCTGAAGCAAACAGAAGCTGTGTCTTGATAATGTCATTGTCTGGGCTGATGGCCAGAGTCATAAAGGAATACGGGTCTGGTACACTGCCACGGATACTGCAGGCACTCCAAAGGAAATTTATACCTCGGCAATCTGAGACAGGTTCATTGTTATTCCTTTTAAATGTGAAGACAATGGTTATTTACTATATTTTCCTGAGTGTATCTTGTACTCTCCTCTGTACTTCTCAGACATTTAGGATGTAAGTTTTCATGGTTGCTTCTGTAAGGCTGTATAATTGATGTACGCACAGAATGCTGTTGCATCTTTTTGATTGCAACTGTGAAAATGTCAGAATTAAAGAGCTGCTAAAATGATAATGTTTCTGTTACAGATAGTTTTAAAGAACCTGTTCAGACATGTTATGACACAGCTTTGGAGCAGGTGGGCCTTCTGGTCCAGGGGTGGGGACACTATCACTGCACCGTTATCTGTTACATTTTAGAATACTTTTCAGGAACTTACCATTTATCTCCTAGAGTAATTGCAAACTCTGGTCTCTATGCTTACCATATGAACTGTTACTGAATTATGTTGGCAAATCTTCTAGAAACAGACAACGTGGTATGGAACAAAAGCGAAGTTGCTGGAAAAGCTCAGCAGGTCTGGCAGCATCTGTGAAGAAAAAAATCAGAATTAACGTTTCGGGTTCGGTGACCCTTCCTCAGACCCTTCTGAGGAAGGATCACCGGGCCTGAAATGTTAACCCTGTTTTCTGCTTCACAGATGCTGCCAGACCTGCTGAGCTTTTCCAGCAACTTTGTTTTTGTTCCTGATTTACGGCATCCACAGTTCTTTCAGTTTTTATTTAACATGTGGTATGGGTTGTCCTGATCAGTCTGACTAAATTTAGCTTCTAGAACCTAGCACTTTGTCCTACAGATGGTAGAACTGCTCTCGTGCAATGAGCACTTGGCACTACCAAGGAGTACTGTGTTCCTATTTGCTGCTTTTTCATCGACTTCTGAAAAAAAGACTGTTGGTAGATGAGACCATAGCAGATCATGCACACCACACGCTAAAAATGAGAATGGCAGGAATGTGTATAGTAGTGCAGGGGTACTGAAGCAAATGCACTTGTCAATAATTGTGTTGAAATTCTGACCAAGTGACTGTGAAATGTAATTCTTTTGTCTTTGTCTTTCCACCCATTTATTATTCTGTTCCTCCTTGTTCCCTTTGCACAGAACATTAAGCATATCTTGTACCAACTTAAGTCCGTTAATTATTTTTAGTTGTTAGTTACTTTTATATGATTTTTTTTAAACTTCACTAAGTTTATTAAAGGATGAAATCACATTTTGTAATCATTTATTCGCACTGGAAAATAAAGTGTAATTAACACAAGTAAATTATTTATGCAAGCTTTAAGCTGATCTACTTTGTAGTTATTTACATGATTAATTCAAGGCAGATGGTCAAATTTTATCTGGCTTGACTAAATACAATGTATTTAAATTTCTTTGTCATTACTTTTGCTGCCCAGAAAGTGTATGTGTGTCTGCCTGCCTTATGCTGGTGTTCTGCTGGCTTTTTTAACGGCCTTGTTAACTTGCATTGCTAATTTTAATGATTTGAGATTGTACCTCTCAACCTCTTTGCTTCTGTATTCCATTTAGCCTCCCTTTTTGCAAGGAACATGTGACCACCTGATTCCTACTACTAAAGATGACCACCTCCCACTTTCATAAAATTTCATCTATCATTTACTCACTCATTCTGCAAACTTATTGCCATGTCTTCTATTTTTTTTTTGGCAATCTTCCTCAGTATTGCACTGTCAAATTTGGCGTCATCCACAAATTTTGAAGTTGTCTAAATTAGGTTTGCAATTGATGAATAGCACTGAATCCAGCATGGATTTTGTGGGATATTACTTCCCACCAACCTTAGTAACTATTTCAATAACTTCAAGTTGGGTTTCTGTAGTCACCTTGTTATCTGTTCTACTCCTTATCCCTTAACTCCACATCTTCTAACCTTTGAAGACTACCTTATCAAAGAAGCGATGACCCCATGTGTAAGTTTCAAACACCATAATCTTACAAATGAGCCAAGAATACACGTATGTGAACTCGTGAATAATTAGCAGTTCATATGAGTCCCTTTTTATTGGTGATGAAAGCCAGGACCATTATAAACATTAAACTTGTTATTCTTGTACTGAAGTTTTTACAATGGTATGTATTTTGAACATATTTTATTTAACGTAAACTGTGTGACAATGCAAAATCTGTAAAATTGCAAAATAAAAATGTGACACTAAACTAAGATTGTATGTTAATGTTCTCCATACCTATTTGGTGCAGTTTAACCAGAAGCACTTGGCGCTCTTGCGGGTAGATTGACTTTTCCCAATCAAATGTTTGGCCATTCTATCTAATCTCCAGTTGTACGATAGTGTGATCTGGGTTGGAGGTTGTAACAATGATATCTCCTTGTTTAATGAGTTGGATATTGCAATTTAACTTCACCTGTATCCTCACTTGCACTTCTTTACTCTTTCAGAAGTCATTGCTGATAAATGCCCTGTGGAGATGAAGTCATTTTAAAATAAAGAACATGATTTAGGTTGAAAAGTATACACAGTTATGATTCCAGACAGGATGTCACCAAATGGTTATGGGGTGAATTAGCTCCTGTTTCTTAATTCAGCCCTTCTCTTGGATAATTATAACATGTTAATTTATAAAGGATCCCTTCCCTTGTGAATACATTTTCCCAATTCAAATGAATTTATATTTTTAAAAGGAACCAACTTCAAGCTTAAGGCATGGCATGGTGGCTCAGTGGTTAGCACTGCTGCCTGAAAACGCCAGGGACCCAGATTCGATTCCATCCTCAGGCGACTATCTGCGTGGGTTTCCTTTGGGTGCTCCAGTTTCCTCCCACAGTCCAAAGATGTGCATGTTAGGTGGATTAGCCATGTTAAATTACCCCGTGGTATCCAGGGATGTGCAGGCTAGGTGGATTAGGGATAAGTCGGGGTTAGATTCAAGTGGAATGCTCTTCGGTGTAGACTTGATGGATCAAATGGCCTGCTTCCACACTCCAGGGAGTCAATGATGTAAGCTTTCTTGAGTTAAAGTAAAGGTAAATTTCTCAGCTAGTTTTTTTTTATTTTGAAAATATTCATTCAAGATGTGGTTGTCACTGGCTAGGCCAGCATTCATTGCTCTTCCCTAAATGCCCAATTAACAGTCAACTACATTGCCGTGGGCCTGGAGTCATATGTAGGCCAAACGAGGTAAGGATGGCAGTTTCTAACCCTAAAGGACATTAGTAAACCAGATGGGTTTTTTTTCCAGGCCAATCAACTGTTTCATGGTCATTACTAAATCCTTATTTCCAGATTTTTATTGAATTCGAATTCCACCATCTGCCATGGCAGGATTTAGATCTGGGTCCCAAGAACATTGCCTGGGTCGCTGGATTAACAGTCTAGTGACAATTTCACTCGGCCATCACCTCCCTACTAAAGGCTGGAAAAGATTGTTTAACAAGTGACATATCACACACACATTGGAAATATGAATTAAGTAATAAGATAACAGTTAAAAAGATATAAGTATGTCTGGATTCTATGAATAGTAGATGTTGGAAATTTTCTGTCATTAGTTGGATGGTACGAGTAATGCCTTTGGTAATGAGGCATTTGATGTCAAAATTCATGACTCTGCAGTTAGCTAACAGGCGTTTCTCCTACTTCCTTTTAGCAGTCACTTCAGTGGTGTGCCTGGCTTCCAGCACTGTTAACCTAATGTTCTTCTCTGCAAAATCCAGCTACTAAAAATACTGCTCATTTTTATATTTCCAAATCTAGCTCCATTGTCTTTTCAAGATAAACATTACACAGGCAAGGTTTCATCCCCCATTATGCGAACATAGCATACAAATGTGAATTCAATAGGAGATGTGAAATTCTTGCTGCTGAATCAATTGTATGGTTTTACTGTCTTTGAGTGAAATGATAATTTCAGTCCAGCTAGATTAGTGTATTCCATATGGGTTCCCTGACTTGCCCCTATTTGTAGTCAGGTGATTGTGACAGCTATTGTAGGTCAGGGTTTGTCCTCTTTAAAAACCAATGGGATTAGAATAGGATGCTTTATGACCAGTGCAGACAAGATGGGCCTAAGGGGCTCTTTCCATGCTGTTAAAAACTCCATGACTCTGACATTTTAATCCCTGAAGGTCTCAGGTATTAAAATCAGATGATAGTTAAATATTGATCATCCATACTCATATTATTATGGCAAGACGTTAAACTAGGAGGAATACTCACAAATTTTCAGATCTGTTAGTTTAAAAAAAAGTAATTCTTTTGTAGATGGGATCAGGTGATTGTCAACTTTCTCATTTATAACAAAGTTCTTAATCCATGAACTGTAACAATAGTTATCTGAAGCTTTAATCACAAAACTAAATAAGTAGTGATCTAGACTTATGTAAATCTTAGTATTCTACATTAGATCTGAAAGAGTTGCATTTTAGCAATATTCATTTCGAACCATTCCCTGACTATAAATTTCACCTAGACTTTCCAAACACAGCCAGTTAGCTCCTCCTTCCCCTCACATTTCTGAGGTGTTCCAAGTTCCTTTGTATCATGAATGATTTAACCAGAGTCCATTTGCCAACCAGTCAGCACTCACGTTTCATGCAATATTAAAGTATGTTTTCCCTTTGATTTGGTATTCTTGCCAAATTGCCCTGATGAGTGCAAGATGAAAAGCTTTGACAAAATATGCCTTTATTCAACAATACCGAGAAAAGTATTCCTGGAATATTGGTGATGCTAGCAAGGTCATGGTTATTGTGCATACTTATTTTTATTAACATAGTGGTGCTATCTTTTAGAACTACTTCCCCTATCTTTGGTATTGGAGCTGCCGTTTATTATGATGTTAGGTGGGTAATTATTGGATTTTGATCCAGTAGTTATGAACTATAGCAGCACAAATCCCAAAACAGTGTGCCATGTGACTTGAAGGTAAGAATGTTCTCCTGACAGTGGTGGAAATGGAAAAAAATAGAATCATACTTTCACAAAATTAAAAATAGCATCAATTTATTTACTCACAATGATGTTTAATGATGAAGTGTGGATGTTGTATTAACTTGTTAAATCTATACTGCTTGTGTGTACTTAATGCCTCTTTAATTCAACATTTGAATATTTTTACAAGCTTCTGCAATTATTTTCTCATGTGCGGACCCTTTGAGAGTCGAAATTTGAAGTTCTAAAGTGTAGTAGTGCTTCTGTGGCCTTGCTTAGGTTTCTCCTGCTTGGCTAGCATAGGTTTGAATGGATGCACATAACATAGGTGGGGTCCAGAACAACTGAACAGGAAGTGAAATAGATAAGTTCAAGTACTGCAGTTTTGTGTCTGGGTCTTTATTTCAAGTATAGGCTCCACTTACTACTGGCAATATCACATAGAAAAAAACTGGAGAAGGAAATATAAAGCTGTTAGAGCTTGCTTGTTAAAATTCCTTTTATACCTTAATTCTGCTGTATCTATCCATATCCCTGTTTTCCCATTCAGCGCCATACACAGAGCAGGCCACAAGAGGGTGTGAA